AAATTTTGGGGGGAAAAGTAAGAGAGGTTCAAGAAGATTTTCAACAAAGAAGAAGATAAAAGGATTTTTAGAATTGAAAATAATAGGGATTAGTGCCTTTTTAAAAAAAAAAAAAAAACTAAAAACAAAAAGGACAAAAGTTGTTGACTATTGGACTTTAAATGTAAAAGTAAAAAGTTGTTCTACTTTTTATAGTTCCTAAGTAACTAAAAGGACAAAAGTTACTTAGGACAAAATTGTGTGTGAATGTTTTATATATATAAAAAATGAATTAAAACTGAAATGTGGCTATAGGGATTCAATCCCGGGTTGGCTGGGAAAATTGAACCCCCTCAGCCACTCGGCTAAGCTTCAACTTGTGTTAGTGGGTTCAAAATTTAATATATACATATAAAATTTTAAAAACTGATTAAATATACATATATATACAGTGTTATTTTTCAACGAAGTGGGTTCATATGAACCCACTTGAACCACTGTAGGTTCGCCCCTGTGTACATGATTTGCAGGGTATGCATGAGTTAGAGAACCATATTTTCTCAAAGGCATCTTCTCGGGTAACATGATTATAATTCATCTGTGAGACCCTTTCCATGGATGGGATCAAAACATATGCAACTTGAGAGGTGCATCGACTTACTGAGGTTGATTGGTGTGGTTTTAAAGTTCACACATCATATTATTAGTGGCACATCGTGAGTCCAATACACCTCATAATTATGTCGATGCACCATGGATAATATCCATGAAAAGGGTTTCACATATGAAATATAATCATGTTACTATGAAGTTGTCTTCAAGAGAATATAGTCTAAGTGATGCATACTCTACAAATAATGTCCATCCAAGTAATACCCCGTGAAATATGTGCACCAAACCGATACTGCATAACTTATTGCAATCCTAACAAAGATGCTACTGTTCGTACTTGTTTATGATATTTTGAAGCTTGTTATTGGCCTTAGCCTAGGAATTGGCTTGTGTTTTCCTTAGACTCGCATTTTGGAAGCTGATAGGCCTTAGAATTCTCCGACGTTGCTTTAGATGGCTTAACTCCCTGTAGAATAGTGTAGCATACTTGTGTCCTATAGTATGAGCCTTATCTAGGAAGTAACTCAGTTTGGATGACCTGTCATCCATAATTCCTTTTTTACTACGGACTAGATGATTCTCTGTTGTGATTTTAGGCTTCTTTCGACGATGTGAATCGGATTTTGGTTCGGCCTTGGAGTGCTATGAGCTTTCAACCTTGGGGTGGACGCCGATCCTTGGTAGACTTATGATGGTGACTTGACATGGTACTCTCCCTCAACAGTTCATATAGTCGTAGATTAAGGTATGGGTATATCACTCTTATAGTCATAACTTCAAGGTCTAAACACATGATCTACAACTGCAGTCTGAGTTTCAAGAATATTATCCTCTACTTGCTTTTCCCTTTCACTCCTTCCTAAACTCGTGTGTATTCTTGTTAGATTTCTATTCATTTGACCTCTGTAGTATTATTTCTCACTTTTCATGTTGTTTTTACTTTTGAAGCTATGTTGGCCTATGATGCCTACTTGGTACCTGTTGTTTTGATACTAATACTATACACTGCATCTATTTTTGTGATGCAATTCTGAGCACCATTCATCAACGCTAATATCGAGTTGGTTTCACGAGGATTCGGAGAGGAGGGTGAACTTATGATGTTCTAGATCATACCTGTCTCCTTATGTTTAGTTTTGGCTAATTTTTCTTGCTTTTGAGACAAAAGTATATATTTTGGTCCACTTTTAGGACTTGTACTATTTGTGTAGATGCTTTTGTACATGTGACTACTAGGTTTTGGGTCTAATTATATATATATACATTGGCTTTTGTTCTCATCTTACAGAGTTTTCTTTAGATTATATCTTGCATCCCCTGTTATTTGTTGTTTCAACCCTTTAAGCATGTTACTTGTCATTCCGAATTGTGGGTTGGCTTACCTACTAATGGGTTATAGTAGGTGTCATCATGACTCAAGTTTTCAGATCGTGATATACATACACAGTAAACATGAGCCATCACATCACAATAAGCGAGTCCGGTTCTCTTATGGAGCCCACACATACAAACTTTTAGTGTAGCAGGGTGGTACATGTTCCCATTGTACTGGTGTGGTACCCATTCCAGATGTTAGTGTATGTACATGGTACCCATTCCAACAATAGTATGTGTTGATGTTGCACCTGATACCAATCATCAACACACAACGCATTCACAATCACAATGAATCACAATCAGACGTGTACATTCATGTAACACATTTATTTTATGCGATTGATAACATCTTTTATTTCACATCATCTCTTTCTGATTTCCCTAATTTATATCATGCATGCACTATTAACAACGTGTTAAAAAGCATATATAAAATAAACTAGAAAAACACACATCTATCACCTACCTCGGATCAAGCCTTGGAAACTCTAAAGAATTTGAGCTTTTCCATTGTTATGATTTTTTGCTTGTTCTTAGTCTAAAACAACAATAAAACACGACAATCAATTAATAATGGCCTAACAATACCCGTATTATAGTAAAAACCTAAACCCCAGGCCATTCCCATGATCATCCCACTTACCAAAGGTCATTTCTATCATTAATTCAAGCTTAAATCCTTCCCCAAGTGTAACACCCTTGATTCTAAGGCTTAAGAATCAAAATACAAGTTGGGGAAGTAATTAACTTACCTTTAGTGAAGATCTTGGTGGAAAAACTGAAGAAAGCTTTCCTAAGTCACCCTTTCTTTTCCCAAGAATGAAGTTTAAGAAAATAAGAGGTTTTGAGACTTTTTCTGCATAAAACTCCCCACTAACTCCGCTATAGCGGTGTCACCATAGGGGCCAACCCTCTATAATGAGAATAAATTTATCCTAATATAGAGGCGTAGCTTGCATGAAAACAAAAAAATCCTTCCCAATGCCTCCATTTCGCAATACACCTACGAACATTTACGTTCTATAATAACACCTTCACACCAAGTTCGATAGTGGGAGTTTTTTCACTCGAATTCGATTATGAAAAACCCTATAGATTCCTTAATGTCTTAGTTACTAGGAAACATGATCCAATCTTAGACATACCACCAAACCCCTTCCACGATTTCCCTAGACCTTTCCTTGCTCATATCCCGTATAAGACTAGCCTAGACTAGAATTTTCAAGTCACTACATAAAATGTTTTCTAACCTAAATCATAAATCACCCTTTTGGACCTACTGAAGCTATGAAAACTCAAACCAGATCTTATTTACCCAAAAATATGTACTTTGGCCAAACTTTCTAAAAATCAATCTTTCAAAACTGAAAATCTTCTACGTATCAGATTGATCACTTTAGGAATTGTGTCACTCATCCCCGCAAATCATAAAATGCATAATAAAACTATGTGAAGGGTCAAAATAAGGGACAAAAATTTGAAAATACAGTCAACCATGAGGATTGTTAAAAAGTAGCGAATAAGCACAAATTGGTTCACTTGCATATTAAAATTGAAAATTGACACACTTTGATAAGAGCTATTCACATGATCAAATTTGTAATTACTTAAATTTGATTAAGCAATTTAAGTTAGATTTACTAGAAGATTTAGGTAATTATACTCCAACAAAGAATGGAAAAGTTGCTGGTTCCTATAAAAGCAATTTTTAAAAATTATGTTGTGAAGTTTAAGAACTATACATTGACTTGATTGTCCTTTCTAGAAAAAAATGGAAAAGAATGCATTGTCATTTTTCTTTTAATCTTATGATCTCTTACAAAAATGATGTTTTATTTTATTATTTTTGAATCAATTCTACTATTTTAGTATAGATTGGTGTCCAGATCATTCTTTCCCTTCCATTTTCTTGAATAAAAACACAAATTGTTTAGTTCATATCTCAATAAAGTTAAGGAACAACAACAACAAACCGACTGTAATCCCACATGGGATGGAGGGTAGTGTTTACGCAACCTTTCTTGAACCTTGTGAAGGTAGATATGTTTTTTTGATAGACCCTTGGATCAGTAACAATCATACGCAATACGGTTATTGAATCAAAGAAAACAAAATGTAATAATAGAATTAAGAAACAAGATAGTCTGTGAATGATAAAAAGAATATTTACAAGAATTAAAAACTAGAAAACGTTCAACTACCTACTAACCTTCTACCCTAATCCTCGATCTCCATATCTTTTTGTTTAGGGTCATGTCCTCGCTAAGCAACACATACAAAATTAAAATTAAAAAGTATAACCATCAAAATAAATTATTAAAAGCATTTAGACAGACATGTTTTGAATTATAGACATGTGATTTTTTACCCTCCCCGAGTTTCAATCCATTTTTAGCTTTGAATATATATGTTTTAGAATCAGATCTTTATTTTAACTTGCATTTTATTTTTTTAGTAGATTTTA